TGCACTCATCTAGCTGAAGGCGCTCGGTCGAGCATCCGCACCAGATCACGTGTGGGAACGCCGTGCTCAACATCTGCCGCAATCGCTAGCCAGATGAGTGCAAACGATCCTCGATATATTGATAGCTTATCAAATATATCTTCGATCTCCTCGCTTCTGTCTTTTGATCTCACTTGGTGGATGCGCTTCATATTAGAAGTTGTTACTGGTTAAAGCGTTGTCAAACTCCGGATAACTGTGGCATCTTCATTGGTGAGCCCGACGTGATCTGGATCTTTGTTGTTGCGGATGTTTCTATGTCAATCATTGGTATGGACCTTCTACAGCACCACAACTTAATTGTCGGTACGCGCAAACGGAGGCTAGTAGATGGAAACACTAATTTATCTGTTTGCCTGACTTCTTTTTCTGGTTGCAGGTTATCTTCTGTCACTACTTAGCACACTATAGACCCCTTCTACCAACCAATACTCGATAAGTATTCTGGCATTTACCAATCGCAACCGAAATCGCCGTGTGTAACCAGCAACGTTACACATCACATCACGACTACAGGACCACATGTGTTCTCTAAAGCACTCCGACTGGCCCCCGAAAAGTTAAGGTTGGCGAAAAATGAATTTGACCATATGATAGATTTAGGAATCATACGACCGTCAATTAGCCCATGGGCATATCCGTTGCACATGGACAGCAACGATTGGCGTTCAACTGGTGATTATCGGCGATTGAATGCAAAAACAATTCCTGATTTTTACCCGTTACCCCACATTCACGATTTGACAGATACCTTGAAAGGTACAACTGTCCTTTCGAAAATCGACTTGGTCAGAGAGTACAACAAAATTCCTATGGCCACTGACGACATTCCAAAAACCGCTATCATAACGCCCTTCGGACTCTATGACTTTTTACGAATGCCTTTCGGTTTGAGAAACGGAGCACAGACTTTCCAAAGTTTCATAGACGACGTTTTTCGAGGTCTCAACTTCGTACATGCATATGTTGATGACTGCCTAATAGCAAGCTCGGACAGAGAATCACATCTCCAGCATCTGGACCTTGTTTTCGACCGACTACAATAACATGGCATTGCTGTAAACATTCAGAAATGCCAAATCGGAACCGAATCCTTAGACTTCTTAGGTCACACTATCGATGCGCAAGTTATCCGACCCCTTAGAACAAAAGTGGCGGCCATTCTGGATTACCCAGAAACGACCACCATCAAGCAATTGCGCACGTTTAACGGTCTGGTAAGTTTTTATAGATGGTTCATACCGAAATGCGCGTCCCTTATGAAACCTCTTACCGACCAACTTCGTGGAAATGCTAAATCCATCAATCTGGATGACACCGCGCGAAAAGCATTCTCCACGGTTAAGGAACGTATCGCTCAAGCGACCATGCTTGCTTATCAGGACACTGAGGCGCCCATTAGTATCGCAGTAGACGCATCGGACTCAGCAATCGGAGCAGTCTTACAACAATGGCTTAACCAATCCTGGCAACCTTCGGCATTTTTCTCTAGACGGTTGCTAGACACTGAATCGAGGTACAGCACATTCGGTAGGGAACTCCTATCTATGTGTTGTGCTGTCCGACATTTTCAACACCATATCGAAGGCCGTGAATTCACCCTTTTTACCGACCATAAACCTCTTACCTTCTCTTTAAGCTCATCCTCAGACAAGTACTCACCACATGAGTCTCGAAAACTGGACTACATTTCGCAGTTTACTTCAGATATTCGACACATTTCTGGAGCAAACAATGTAGTTGCAGACGCCTTGTCTCGTATAAATTCCTTAAACAGTTCCCAAGGAATCGACCTTTTAAAACTCGCCCAACTTCAAAAAGAAGACAGTGATCCTCGGCACGAGTTGTCCTCAACAACACTTAAACTGCGCATTAAACAGATGGGAACAGGTAAGGAAACCTTACTTTGCGACACATCTACAGGTAGGGATCGCCCAATCGTGCCGAAACAATATCGACGCAACGTCTTCAATACGTTGCACAGAGTTTCTCATCCAGGTGTTCGTGCAACCATCAAGCTTATAGCAGAACGGTTTCGCTGGCCTGGTATGAACAAAGACGTGAGGAAGTGGGCACTTTTCTGTGTAAGCTGCCAGAAATCTAAGGTGATTAGACATAACAAATGTACCGTAGGCCCGTTTAAAACTCCCGATGCTCACTTCGACCACGTTCATTTGGATTTGGTAGGACCTTTACCAGATTCAAATGGATATTCTTATCTTTTAACCTGCGTAGACCGTTTTGCTCGATGGCCAGAAGCAGTACACATCAAGGACATTACTGCTGAAACAGTGGCCGGCGCCTTTGTCGAACGATGGGTAGCAAACTTCGGCTGCCCAACAACCATCACTACAGATCGTGGACGTCAGTTTGAATCTGAACTTTTCCGTTGTCTGACCGCAAAATTAGGAATCACTCGCTTCTGAACGACGGCCTACCACCCACAAGCAAACGGGTTAGTAGAACGTTCTCACCGACAACTAAAAGAGTCACTATCAGCCTCAAACATTTCTCAGTGGACTGACGCTCTTCCACTCGTTTTACTAGGTATTCGCAATGCAGTGAAAGCTGACATTGGATACACTGCGAATCAACTCGTTTATGGTACGACCCTTCGACTTCCAGGAGAATTCGGGGATCCTTCATCCTCTTCAATGGACATGAATCTAACCTCCTACACGAACAGGCTTACAAACGCAACGCGTTCAGTTAAACTTGTTTCCACTCGACCGCAATCAACTGATGTTTTTGTTCAACCTGACTTACAATATAGTACACACGTCTTTGTACGTCGAGACTCGCATCGACGACCTCTCGAATCAGCGTACGAAGGACCTTTCAAAGTTCTTCAACGCGAATCTAAGTACCATATAATCGATGTTAGGCGTTCTCTTGCAAGACCAAGGTACTTTAGAACATCACTTACCAAACGAAGGAGTGGTTTTGTGATCACATAGCAACACCCTCTATTTGTCCGAGGATCAATTCCTCAAATGAAGAAATCGGAGTTCTATTTCCTATTATTTTTCAGCAGGTTTTATTTTACACAAAACATAGTGTCCCCCAGTAAGTCTACTTTACAGAAAAAAAACACTTAGAGATGCTATGAAACGTTTTAACTACCAGAGTGGTGTGCGCTACTTGTGCAGATAGATACAAGTAGTATGTAGTAGGAACTCAAATGCTAACCAGCAAAAGATTCGAATAAAGAATGGAGGAACGAAAGCAGAATTTAGTTGAAATAACAACAGAAGTGGAAGAAAGATGGAGCATGTAGAAAAACAGATGGAAGATGTGCAAATCACGTATTTAATGGATGATTTTCATATTTTACAAAGACAGTAGCTGGTTCAACGAACGCGAACGCAAACAATATCTCATTTCTTTTTCTTTATGGTCAAAATTAAGATGTTCTTCATCTTCTTACTCTTACATAACTGTGGCATTTCTCTTCTCCTTCCTACTAAAAATTCTTCAGTCAACAATAGATATTACGCAGACTATCAATCTTGCGTATTCAAATAAAGGTACTTTTCAATAAATACCTTTAAGAATTAGTTATTTTATCCACTTAATGTTTCAACTACCTTGTTAATCATGTAATTATTGTCGCACTTCTAAATCTATGATCCAGACTATTCATAAAATCTCCACTGTATTCTATATTTACCAATATTTTCTTATTAAATCACAGTCTAAGTTTAGATCTATTGTCAAGATGAAATATAATAACGATAGGCAAAATATGATGCATATGGGGGTTTGTCACTTGCATACTCGACACAGTTCTCTGTGCATAAATTATAAATTATCAAGCCACGCTTGTTTCAACATTAATTGATAATTCGCTTAATAAAATATTCCGGTAGGTATGTCATTTTAATAACAGTATGTGATGATATGGAACTATTGTAAGTTCATGAGTGATATTTGTTTGTACACTCAAGACCGGTTTGAAAGTTGAAATATTGACGGCAAGGTAATAATAAGTGCATGAAACGTTGTACTTACGAAACGAATGCATCCTTTGGGATATTATTGTACTCATAACTTTTAATTATCCCTAAAGATGTTACTGGAATCTAAAGACTTATTTTATTTTGAAGTTGCTGTTTATAAACTTATAAAAATAAAATTAATAAGATATACGATTAAGTTGTGACTACAAATGTATGTAATCCACCTTCAAGCAACTAACAAAATGAAAATGGACTTAGTTCATTCATCTGACATATTTAAAAATGCAAACCTAGGAATATTGCTAACTGCATAGTATAGCCATCAAAACAGTCATACATAAGTATTCAGTTTACTAACAAAACTACGTGGCAAAGTGTGTGCGCTCAATATGAAGAGTATAATAATCATCTAGAATTCTACTACATAGCATAATCTGTATACGATATGAATTCGTAGTACAAATATTTCATGTCACCCTGGTAGTTTAGTTAAATATTCTGGAGACTGATAACTATTACCCAATAACAGACTATAAAATAAGGAATTAAACTTTACCCAGGTTGGTGATTACGGATGATCCACTTAGGGAAGTTGGAAAACCCGAACCAATAGTGCATATGGGCTTCCGGATCCTGAAGGAACAAGTGGCGTATGAACCTATTGTTGGTCATCGGTTACCATGAGACGGCATCTCCTAACGTTGCTCCACTACCTTGTAGATCAGACCTCTAGGTCAAAGGCTCCGGGTGTGGCCTCCTAAAAAAAAGCCACCTGCTTCAGTTTCGGCACCCAGGCAGTACCATAGCCCACATACGAACCAAGTGACTTGTGTGGTGCATATGTATTCGGTATTCTTTTATAGCAATATTTACGTCTCCAAATAAATAAATAAATTCGGATATATACAACTTAAGACAAGGTCAGAAGACGGGCAGGCATTGATTTGTTCGACCATCACATACAGGCCACTTAATAATCTGCATTCGAGACCAACAAAGATGTTTTTACTAAAAATAATTATTCGTAAACAATAAATATCGTCTTTGTTAGCATAATATCCATCTCAGATAAAACCTAGTAGAAGGCTGTGTACTTCATTAGAATTACCATAAAACTAAAATCATGTTCCCCAGTTGACAGAAATTGGTATCACTAAGTCAACGATATGGAGACAGTAATAATAAGCTGTTAAGGTCAGTATTTTAAGAAAGCAAACCAATATTTTAGACAAAATTACATTGACGAAGACTTGAATGCCCCATATTTATGAAAGGGGAATTCTTTAAATAACATTAGTGAAAGTGTTATTCTTACATCGTCATAACGATACAAGTAAAAACTGAATTGTAGAACTAAGAAGAAATAGAAAAGACGTAAGTAAAAAAAGTGACGGAACAGTATGGGAAATAAAATGAAATATTTTCATAGCACTTTAGGAAGCACGTTGAAAAAGTAATTCTACAAGAAAAGTAAATAAATCCCTAGGATCAAAAGAAAAGTGATCAAGGTACATAAACTTCTGAATGTTATTCATAATCTCTGATTTAGTTTGTTTTTCGTACAAATGATACTTCTCTGGTAATTTGATCGCACCATAGAGATTGCGAACAGTCTGTTGCGATTTAAGATCGGGTTTGCCATAATTTGTCTATAGTTAGAAACATGTAAATAAGATAAATAAATACACAATGTCGACAGTCAGCAAAACAAAATAAATTCAGTTCCGTCATGTAAATTTAATAAAAAGAATTTTAAAGAATAATAATGGTCTAAACAATGATAAACGTACGCTTATCTACTGCAGCACACATAACACGAACATTTCATCTATTATTTGACAATACTTGTATACGTCAAAACCCAAGCATTTGACTAAATCTTGACAACTGAATAACTGGTGGCATATGTTATGAATCGATATTATGTGTTATACTGCCCAGTCAAAATTCCGATTACAGATTAGTCCACACATATTCCCAATAAGACCGGTGATTAACTAATTACCAAAAGACAAACTGACTAATGAACAACACCCAAGACCTTAACGCTTATTAACTGTCGAGTTGCCTCTAACCCAGTAGCCAAATAGGAGACGCGTATACGAAGTAGATATATTATCTATTGTGCTCAATTCAATCATGACTCAAAACTCATACAATAATATACTTGAAATGCCTGACCACACAGCACAAAAAATAAGAGATTATATTTTAAGCACAATCATGCCGTAAGTGGCAGGGAGCAAGGTTAATAATGCATAACTAATAGGTAATAATTGAGAAACGGGAGGATTCAAAACATTGGTTACTAGGTCCAATGGGAGCTCACAATAAGGGGAACATACAAATGCAACAATAAAAACTTAAGTAATAATTGGAAAACTAGTTCCGACATTTACAACTTTTCCAATATTCGTACCAGTATAAAAGCATACGAATAGAGTGATGAATAGATTCTTATCTTTTTCATTCAAAAGTTAGTGATGGGTAGTTGTTTTTTTTCATGTAAAGACATTAACATCATGAAAGACTAAAAGCATACAATCCAGGTATTCAATAACACAAGGTGATTGATTAAATTAGAAGTATATTGGAGTCAACTCCGCCTGGAGTCCCTCCGGGAGCTACTGCCGGTTCCAAGCCCGGATAAAGGAGGAGGGTTGGGCATGGGGTTAGCGACCCCATCCCGTAGAAAACTAACTCGCTAAAAAAACGCTAACCAGAAAAAAATTATTCAAACCATTTAAACTCTGCCCTGGGAGTCAGGTCTTCATTTAGAAGAGTTACGACGCTTCATGATGAAAGCTGAGTTCCTTCGGAAGTCACGAGGCCGATTCCCCTTCTGACAACCAGAGCAACCATTTGTTTAGGTACATGGAATGCTCGTACTATGTAGAAGACTAGGAGAATCTTCCAAATTGATGCAGAAATGAGGAGATACAATTTAGAGGTGCTTGGGATCAGTGAAACACATTGGACGCAAGTTGGACAACAACGACTAGCTTCAGGGGAGCTGCTGTTATACTCCGGACATGAACAAGAAAATGCTCCACATACACAAGGAGTTGCATTGATGCTGTCCAAACAAGCACAAAATGCACTTATAGGATGGGAATCTCATGGACCAAGGATCATCAAAGCCTCCTTCAAAACAAAGAAAACGGGGATTACAATGAACGTCATCCAATGCTACACGCCTACCAATGACTACAATGAAGACGCTAAAGATCAATTCTACGATAGGCTGCAGTCAATCGTCGAGAAGTGCCCAACAAAAGACCTGACTATTCTGATGGGAGATTTAAATGCCAAGGTTGGAATTGACAACACCGGATATGAAGAGATCATGGGACGACACGGACTGGGAGAAAAGAACGAAAATGGGGAGAGATTTGCAAACCTACGTGCCTTCAATAAACTGGTCATAGGCGGAACTATATTCCCACATAAACGCATACACAAAACCACATGGACTTCACCGGATCACACCACACAGAACCAAATCGACCATATCTGCATCAACAAAAAGTTCAGGAGGACGATGGAGGACGTGAGAACAAAGAGAGGAGCTGATATAGCATCAGATCATCACTTGCTGGTCGCCAAGATGAAATTGAAACTCAAGAGGCACTGGACAACGGGGAGGACAATATCACAAATGTTTTACACGGCTCTTCTTCGAGATACTGATAAACTCAACAAATTCAAGATAGTCCTCAGCAATAAGTTCCAGGCCTTTCATGATCTACTCAATGGAGAAGGAACTACTATGGAGAGCAACTGGAAAGAGATAAAAGAAGCAATCACTTCAATATGTCATGAGGTTCTGGGCCAAAAGAAGCACCATCACAAGGATTGGATCACGTTCGATACACTGGATAAGATTCAAGAAAGAAGGAACAAGAAGACAGCAATCAATACCAGCCGAACAAGAGCAGAAAAAGTCAAGGCACAGGCTGAATACACAGAAGTAAACAAGCAAGTGAAAAGGAGCATCAGAACCGACAAACGTAAATATGTGGAAGATTTGGCAATGACGGCGGAAAAGGCTGCCAGAGAAGGAAACATGAGACAACTGTATGAAACAACAAAGAAACTCTCCGGAAATCACCGTAAACCAGAACGACCAGTGAAAAGCAAGGAAGGCAAGATAATCACCAACATTGAAGAACAACGAAACAGGTGGGTAGAACACTTCAAAGAACTCTTGAATCGACCAGCCCCACTGAACCCACCCAACATCGGAGCAGCACCCACGGACCTTCCAATCGATGTTGGCCCACCAACAATTGAAGAAATTAGCACGGCCATCAGACAAATCAAGAGTGGCAAAGCAGCAGGACCAGACAACATCCTAGCAGAGGCACTGAAAGCAGACATAGCGGTAACTGCAAGAATATTCCACATACTCTTCAATAAGATTTGGGATGAGGAACAGGTACCAAAAGACTGGAAAGAAGGACTTCTGGTCAAAATACCAAAGAAAGGCGATCTCAGCAACTGTGACAACTACAGGGGAATCACTCTTCTTTCAATACCAGGAAAAGTCTTCAACAGGGTATTGTTAAACAGAATGAAGGACTCCGTAGACACACAACTTCGAGACCAACAGGTAGGATTCCGTAAGGATAGATCGTGTACAGATCAAACCGCAACTCTACGGATCATTGTAGAACAATCAATTGAATGGAATTCATCACTCTATATCAACTTCATCGACTACGAAAAAGCATTTGACAGAACCTTATGGAACCTTCTTAGACACTACAGCGTGCCTCAGAAGATAGTCAATATCATACGGAATTCCTATGATGGATTAAACTGCAAAATAGTCCATAGAAGACAGATGACAAAGTCGTTCGAAGTAAAGACCGGTGTCAGACAAGGTTGCTTACTCTCACCCTTTCTCTTTCTCCTGGTGATCGACTGGATCATGAAGACGTCAAATTCTGGGGGGAAGCACGGGATGCAATGGACAACTAGGATGCAGTTGGACGATCTAGACTTCGCAGATGATCTGGCTCTTCTATCGCAAATGCAACACCAAATGCAGGAGAAGACGACCAGTGTAGCAGCAACCTCAGCAGCAGTAGATCTCAATATACACAAAGGGAAAAGCAAAATTCTCCGATACAACACAAGATGCACGAATTCAATCACATTTAACGACGATTTGGAAGATGTAAAAACCTCTACATATTTGAGCAGCATCATCGATGGATACGGTGGATCTGATGCAGATGTGAAGTTTATTATTTTTATTTTATTTTAACACATAGATATTGGTACAAGAAGGCACCAAATACATATGCGCCACACAGATCTCATTTGATATGTGTGAGAGCTGTGATACTGCCCGGGTGCCCAAACCAAAGCAGGTGGTTTTCTTAGGGGGCCACACCCCGAGCCTTCGACCTGAAAATCTGATCCACAAGGCAGTGGAGCATCGTGAGGAGATGCAGTCCCATGGTAGCCGGTGACCAACGATTGGTTCATACGCCATTTGTTCCTTCAGGATACTGGAGCCCATGTGCACCATTGGTTTGGGGTCCGGTTATAGCGCCGGACATTCGCTTTTCGTCCTCTAATTTTTGTAAACAACACCCCCGCCACGAGAAGGCAGTGAGTAGGACTTCCTTGGCAGAGGCTATATACACGTGGCCATGTGAGAGCATTTCGAGAGGGAGAGCGGACTCTTCCCACTCTCGGCCATACCACGGCATTTGGGGGCAGATGTGATGTGAAGGCACGGATCGGCAAAGCAAGAGCAGCATATTTACAACTGAAGATTATCTGGAACTCAACACAATCAGCAACCAACAGCAAGGTCAGGATTTTCAATACAAATGTCAAAACAGTTCTACTGTATGGAGCCGAAACCTGGAAAACCACGAAAGCCATTATCCAGAAGATACAGGTGTTTATTAACAGTTGTACACGCAAAATACTTCGGATCCGTTGGCCACACACTATTAGCAACAACCTACTGTGGGAGAGAACAAATCAGATCCCAGCGAACAAAGAAATCAATGAAAAGCGCTGGAAGTGGATAGGACACACATTGAGGAAAGCACCGAACTGCGTCACGAGACAAGCCTTCATATGGAATCCTCAAGGCCAAAAGAAAAGAGGAAGACCAAAGAACTCATTACATCGGGAAATAGAGATAGACATGAGAAAAATGAACAAGAAATTGATGGAACTAGAAAAGAAGGTCCAGGGAAAAGTGGGTTGGAGAATGTTGGTCGGCGGCCTATGCTCCATTAGGAGTAACAAGCGTAAGTAATATTGGTCCATGAATCTTGACGAAGAATACAGGAATGGAATAACATATAGTAAATCTACAATATTTAATAATAGACCACATAGCATAAAGAGATTTTCAATTATAGCTCCTTAAATTTACTAAATGATTTCATTTAAATGTTTGAAGATCGGAGTTTTATCTACACATTAAAGGTACTCAAACTAAGGTATGACAAAACGAAGATTCCGTGTGACCTGTGTGGGAATAACTAAGAAATGAAAGTATTTAAGAACGTAAAAAACTACAACAAAATACAACCTGCAACGTCAACCACAGGAACGACCAACATTTTGAGAATGGCATAAGGAAAGTTACTTGACTAACTCAGATTACTTACTTACTTACTTACGCCTGTTACTCCCAATGGAGCATAGGCCGCCGACCAGCATTCTCCAACCCACTCTGTCCTGGGCCTTCTTTTCAAGTTCCATCCAATTCTTGTTCATTTTTCTCATATCTATCTCCATTTCTCGGCGTAATGTATTCTTTGGTCTTCCTCTCTTCCTTCGACCTTGAGGGTTCCATATGAGGGCTTGTCTTGTGACGCAGTTCGGTGCTTTCCTCAATGTGTGTCCTATCCACTTCCAGCGCTTCTTCCTGATTTCTTCCTCCACTGGGATCTGATTTGTTCTCTCCCACAGTAGGTTGTTGCTAATAGTGTCCGGCCAACGGATCCGAAGTATTTTGCGTAGACAACTGTTAATAAACACCTGTATCTTTTGGACGATGGATTTCGTAGTTTTCCAGGTTTCCGCCCCATACAGTAGAACTGTCTTGACATTTGTATTGAAAATTCTGACTTTGGTGTTGGTTGCTAATTGTTTTGAGTCCCAGATATTCTTCAGTTGTAGATATGCTGCTCTTGCTTTGCCAATCCGTGCCTTCACATCTGCATCAGATCCACCGTGTTCATCGATGATACTGCCCAAATATGTAAAGGTTTTTACATCTTCCAAAGCTTCTCCGTCAATTGTGATTGGATTGGTACATGTTGTGTTGTATCGAAGAATCTTGCTTTTCCCTTTGTGTATATTGAGACCTATTGCTGCTGAGGCTGCAGCTACACTGGTTGTCTTCTCCTGCATTTGTTGTTGTGTGTGCGATAGAAGAGCCAGATCATCTGCGAAGTCTAGATCATCCAACTGCATCCTAGCTATCCACTGTATCCCGTGCTTCCCTTCAGATGTTGATGTCTTCATGATCCAGTCGATCACCTGAAGCTAGTCGTTGTTGTCCAACTTGCGTCCAATGTGTTTCACTGATCCCAAGCACCTCTAAATTGTATCTCCTCATTTCTGCAGCAATTTGGAAAACTCTCCCAGTCTCCCACATTGTGCGAGCATTCCATGTACCTAAATAAATGGTTGCTCTGGTTGTCAGAAGGGGCATCGGCCTCGTGACTTCCGAAGAAACTCGGCTTTCATCATGAGGCGTCATAATTCTTCTAAACGAAGACCTTCTGACTCCCAGGGCAGAGTTTAAATGGTTTGAATAATTTTTTCTGGTTAGCGTTTTTTTTAGCGAGTTAGTTTTCTACGGGATGGGGTCGCTAACCCCATGCCCAACCCTCCTCCTTTATCCGGGCTTGGGACCGGCAGTAGCCCCCGGAAAGGGACTCCAGGCGGAGTTGACTAACTCAGATAGTTACCGTAAAATTTGAATTAGAACTTGCAAGCGGTACACAACAAGTTTGGATCGACTAAGTGTAGGTAAGCAGTATAATTTCATCTGATTTTGATAAAGCACCAGCCAGTTCAAAATTAGATTTAAAAAAACTAATAAAATGCTACCCATCAAAGTAGGAACGAATAAGAGGAACAGTTGGAACAAAACTAGATATTGGCCAAATATCATATACTCATAGAATATGCCTTGGGAATAACAGTCTCAATCTCATTATGCATATATCGGTGTCAAAAAATTATAACTATTTTAGGATATATGTAGGTGTTTTGTACTGAAATGGATCAATATGCAAAATAATGATCGCTGAAGTTATCTATAGATCACAGCGATTTGCTTTTAGAAACGCGTAGGAAGGATATGGATAACAGACAGACGCAAACACAGCTAGGAAATAAGTTGTCATAAATTCACAGGAAAAGACCAGTTTGATGCGTTAAAGTGAACCATATTCAAATATAATGTGAGGACGCATCTCGCGTTCCGAAAAGGCGACCCTAAATAGTTATGAAGAAACCATTGGATGTTTAACGACTTGGTAATAAACGTGAATACTTCCAGTACTAATTAACGTTAATAATGAACAGAGACATTGTCTTCTTTTCCTTAACCTCAAGTTTTCCAAATTTACTAGACTCATCGAGAAGACTGATTAAATATGCAGCTACTGTGTATAAACATAACACTGAAAACATGAAGACAAAACACCGAAAATATCCATAACCCTATTTTTAAGGCGATAAAAATAAAAGTAGCACAAAGTAGTGATACGGTGGAAAAAGGATAAATGTAAAATTATGGTATGTAGTAATCTATTAGTAATTATTCGAAGTCTATTCATACTTAATAACAACTTTCCATTAGGGATGATTTGTAAAGTGATACGTTCAAGCTTAAATGAAAGTAAACCATTTGTCATAGTCATTTATTTTTACAAGCGTACTTCTACATGTTAACTGATTAACCAGGCGTTCACCATATTTCTTTTGATGGATAGGCGTTATGGTAGATTGAAGGCATTCAAAAGTAAATTTTGTAAAAGTAATATTAACTTAATAAGCAGTAGCTCAATTCTGTAGCTAACTTGATAAATATATTCTAAAACAACACGTCACAAAGTACTTGGGAAAACTTATTTAATATTTATTACACAGTCGGGTGTCTTACACTTTCATGATTAATACCTCATGATAAAACGTAGCTGAAGGTGTATAGCTAACATATAAAATATGAAGCAATCCACAATCAGAAACATATCTACGTTCATACAATAAAAAAGAGATAATGGTGGGGTGTAACAATTCAAAAAAAATACAAACTCAATTTATTTCAACGATAAGATAATTTTAAAATGGAAGAAATTTTTTTTTACTTTAAGTATTTCATATTGTTCAGGTGAAAGGTATTTTAACGCTTCAACAATTAGCCATGTACATTTGCCTTCTGCTATATCAGTTCCAACTTTTCCAGTAATTTCACTGTCACCAAAACAATCTAAATAGTCATCCTATTGTGAAATGACTTCAAAGTATTTTTATTACCTGGGCTTGAAAGTAGTTACCCAATTTAAGGAGGATGTATTGAACATTTTTGAAAATATCATCTGTATCATCAACTTCAGCCTATTTTTAAGAAACAAATTTCAAAGAAGACTGTACATTAAACAGAATGCTATTAGTTTTTTGATGTTAACAAACAAGATGAAAGACAAGAAGTATAACCACCGTTTTTAATCGGTTTATTCAACTTAAATAATGAATGAAAATAGATAAAATTTTGAAGGTGGCATTTATGAGATAATACTGAAAATTTTTCTTCTGTGGAGAAGAATGAGGATCACAGCTGCTCAGTATGTTGGTAATTTACTATAAACGTTCTGATAAGTTATGGGACTTGTTAATAGCAGTAATATGGTGACCATTTATGATATGAGATCACGAGTCCTTATATGCTAATAAAGTACAAAGGCGTAGTTCTGTGGTTAAAGCTTTTGACTCTCAGTCTCTAGGTTGCAGGTTTGAACGCCGCTCCCTCTATTTCAGTTCGAGCAGCTAGGTAGCTTTACTAGTCTTCAGACGAAGAACGGAAGTCGAAACGAAGAACAAAAATCTGTGGTTGGTAAGTTGAATAAGTGGGAAATTTAAGTAATATGGATCAAAATCAGTTATATTGGCTTAGATGCATTCAGTTTTCATAAATATGAAGGCTAGATAACATTGATGATTACAAACAATGACTTTGTTGGAACTAAAACAAACTTAAAAAACTTTGATCTTTATACACGGTGTATTACACAAATGTTTTTATTACGAAAGTTATTCAGTCTAACAATTGATGTACGAAGTAAAAATGTACATTTTCCAGTTTAAATTTTTTAATAAATAAGAGAAGATAAAAAATGAAACGGAAATAATTAAGTTAACTTACCAAAATCATTCCACACGCTACAGGTAGATAAAAAGTATAAAAACCCGTCTTCCAGTGTGTTATAGCTTCAAAGACATCTGGTGAGTAGTTTCGAGTAAAACTATCAAACTCCAAATTATTCTGTTTTCCGTTCAAAATACATTGATTATTAGGATTTGATGATAGTATATCCAAACACTGACCAGAACACGTTTTGTAACTAATTTCATCAAACAATTTGCATAATTTGAGATATACGTTATTTTTGTCTTTCCATGAATATGATTCAACATCACTTCGATTTTCAGCAAATAAAGAGTGGATCAAGTATTTCGATGATAAAATCAGATGTAAACCATCATTAATTCCAATTAACCCACGGTTTGAATCTATCTGAGTACAATGCCAACACGGTTGGCCTCGTCTAAGTGTAGAGTTGTCAATTATATCATCTAAAACAAGGAATCCTGCGTGTAACTAGGGCACAGATAAAACAAGAAACTTTAAGTCATTGGATAGAAAACAGTTAGTCAATTTTAACGCGATTATAAACTCACGTAAAACGTACAACTGCTTAGAAATGGGTACACTGACCAGCCTCTTGTCAACTTCTGAGAATGGTTGTCAGTATGTATATGTTACCATTTTAATACTTACATATAGGACTTTGGGACATCTGTCATCTTCATTATTAACTTATGACCCATAGTCTGATCCCGATAGTTATCATTAAGTAAACAATCAATCTGCGACACAACTACATATCCTATGAAGAAATAAGTGCTACTGAGGTCGCAGAATACCATGTTCATTTCCCCAGACGTTAAAACTTCTTAATCTAGCTTGTGTGGCTCTTTTTTAGTGGCATGCTGTACCAGAAGGTATATGTGATATGAATAGAAATAAATTCTAATCTAAATGGATCACCTGAAACTAATCAACCTTCAACTTGAGAACGAAATCAGAGTTAAAAGACTGAGAATACTAGGATAACATCATGGTGGTTGAGAGCCTCAGTCACTGGAATATACCTTACTAGTCTAAAAATCAATAATCTTACCAATGAATTTAAAAGCACTGAGTTTAATTTTGTGGGGAAAGGTACATAATATGTAACTCTATTGGTACACAGATTGACAATATGACCGTGATTTTGACGGATGTTTTTGACTAATATCAGGATATAAGGGGAATTAACTTGAAAATAGTCAATTGAACAAACTAAAATACTTACCAATTCGACAAACCAACCAATAACATATGCACACGACAAGTTCTTCTTTGAGTTTTCATTTTTATTGCTGAACACCATATACGAAAGGACAACTAACACTCCTCGAATTCTTTTGCCACTAGATAAATTATACGACGTCACCTGGAAAAGATGAGATTAAGACAAGGATGATGTCACATGATGATTAGAAACAAGAACGGTATTAAGATTAAATTACTTTCCGGAAAAAATATTGATTTGAAATATATTACGTCAAGAATTTGTTATCTATAAGAAATCCTGTATGACTTGTTTGCAGGATTGAGCATCCTAGGATAACGAAGTCAGTCTGCTTTTGTGAAGCCATAACTAAGTACCCCAGTAATAACATTAAGCACTGTGTACTCCAGAAAAACACCGAATACTCCTGTTGACTAAACATTGATTAATCGTGATAGACCAATCGGGCTATACTGGCTGGAACGATCGTTCTTCAAGGTCCTACCAAGTCAGGTAGGTTGAAGAACGGTAAGACTAAAGGCAGCAAACTCAAGGTCCGATGGTAAAGTCGTACTGTTGACTGTACAGAGGTGTGACGGCAGTAAGGTGTTTCGCTCGGACAACCAGCATGACAGCGATGCTGTCTTCCCACAAACGAAGGGTAAGGTTAGGAAAGGTGGACACTAAAAATACACACCTCACCTTATCCCACGGATATCCGTGTCCGTTAACAAGGTCTCAACAAATACGGAATAAACACAAAAAGTACCCACAAAAAGGTCGTGTGACCTACCTCAAGTAGTTGTCCTGTGGGTAGTGTGGTTACACTCTCAGGCCACTAAAACCAACTCTAACCAAATTTCCTGTTCAGGTACCTCTAAAATAATCCTTATACGGTGTGAGCAACCGGAAATTGATAAACACCCTCATACCTCTAACAGAACTCAAGATCACTATATTCGTAAACAATTTTCCTCGGCAATTCTTATTATTTCTCCCACCTCGACTATCAACTATAAACTTCCTACTTGAATGTCACCATGGCCAACGACTCGAGTTTTATTCATTTATTTATTTTAACACATAGATATTGGTACAAGAAGGCACCAAATACATATGCGCCACACAGATCTCAATTGATTTGTGTGAGGGCTGTGATACTGCCCGGGTGCCCAAACCAAAGCAGGTGGTTTTCTTAGGGGGCCACACCCCGAGCCTTCGACCTGAAAATCTGATCCACAAGGCAGTGAAACATCGTGAGGAGATGCAGTCCCATGGTAGCCGGTGACCAACGATTGGTTCATACGCCATTTGTTCCTTCAGGATACTGGAGCCCATGTGCACCATTGGTTTGGGTTCCGGTTATAGCGCCGGACATTCGCTTTTCGTCCTCTCATTTTTGTAAACAACACCCCCGCCACGAGAAGGCAGTGAGTAGGACTTCCTTGGCAGAGGCTATATACGCATGGCCATGTGAGAGCATTTCGAGAGGGAGAGCGGACTCTCCCCACTCTCGGCCGTACCAGGGCATTTGGGGGCCAACGACTCGAGTGTGCGAAATACTGTCACAGATCTACTGAAATCATGCTTCAAACTACACATTGGAGCATTCTACGTATGTACCATTTGTCAAATCGACTAGCGAGTCTCCTTGGCTAAGATCCTAGAATCTCATACCATTGATGTTGTAGTGGCTGGTACTATGTTAAGCCCACACCGGTTCTTCTAGATTCCAAACAGACCGATTTATTCATTCTTCTTGAGTCACATTTTGACCTTGTCAATTATTCGCTTACTAACCTGGACGGTTTATATATGAGCGTGTGTGTTAATCCCTTACTCTACACACCACATATTTGTAACCTATTTTCGGTTGATTAAAATATCGAGTCACGCTTAGTTAAATGGAGTTGGCTCACATGCCTTCTCCGATTCCTTTCGTTTCGCTCCAGCTTCGTTTCTGACAGTCTGTCTGGATCAATGATTGCATGAAATGCACGTATTCGAAATCCATTCTCGTATTTGACTTATTTAATTTCGTTATTTACTAACGCGATTAAGTTAATAATTATATACAAGAATTGGCGGCATGTATAATTCAATAACAATCATTTGTACGATTGAACTGGAGCCTGATACAGGGCCACTAAAATGCATGCTCTGTCTCCGAAACATGTATACAGGATTCTAGTGTGGTCATTCACTTGACCTCACCTAGCCAAAACGGGGAGCCGACTAGATATACCCTCCGTTTATTTGGTGACCCGACGGCAAATTCTCGTGGACTGGTAGAGGCGGGAGAAACACTACGTAATGATGACAGAGCAAGCACTTTAAGAATAGATCCCTATTAACAGTTGCCCATGTGTTGTTCAGTTAAACGGTTCTGTAAGAACTCGAGAGGATAGAGAAACATGTCGTCTTTTCGTCATTTCCGCTTACACTCCCACTGACTGCAACCTGGGTGAAACAAAAGATGAATCCTACAAAAGGCTTTCTGCACTTCTTCAAAAAGCTAAATACTCAGACATAGTACTCGTAACAGGTGACCTTAATGCGCAAGTAGGCAGCTTAAACCAAACAGAAAGACATTTAGGTAGGTATTTCGTTATTCTGACTCAACGAACAGATAATGGTGACTGCCTGCTGCAACTGTGTTCAGACAATCATTTATTTTTAACAAGTAATAATTTTAAGCATGAGACATAGTCTAACATGGCGACCCCCTGCACCAAACCAACAATGAACTCAAATAGACCATATTGCCATCGTTTATCAACGGAGAGGCTCAATAGAAGACTGTTGTTCGTTCTGGAATACATGTTTAGACTCAGATCATGCTTTAATACGAGCACGCATCTGCTTGCGCCTCACTGGACGCAGAAAATACACATTAAAACCAATTAGAGTTAAACTCGGCGACGATAAAGCCAAATGTATATTCCAGGAACAATTGGAACCACACTTAGGCGATTTTGAAAACGACGCTGACCCAGATGTTGCTCGCAAAGATATACGAACAGCTGTGGAGACAGTAGCGACATGTATTATTGATTTGAACCAATGCGTTACAAAAAACCAGTGGAATTCTTTTAAGTCTATTGTACTGACTGACTATCGTAAACATATCCCATCAGGCCCCCAAATGGAAAAGCAAAAGGCTATAGCTAACACAAAACAGCTTTTCAGACTAGTAAAAGAAACCGGAATTAAAAAGCCAAGTGTAAGTGAAACAATCATCGAAAAAGACGACACTTGTCTGCTCTCCGCCCAGACGTTTAAAACGATGGACGGAACACTTTAAGTAGTAGTTCAGCTGGCCTTCAGCTACTCTACAACTACCCACCATTCCCAGTCAGCTTGAATGGAACATTGAAGTAGGTCCCCCGACTCTAATTAGAATTTAAAAAGCTATAGCTAATTTGAAACGAGGAATAGATGATCCAGATGGGTTAATTCCAGAAGTTTTTAAGAGTGATGGTTCAGTCTCAGCGATTAGGTTGATCAATATTTTAGCTAAAATCTGGGGACTGAACGCAATCTCATCTGACTGGCCGCGATCACTGATCGTCCCGACATATAAGGGGTCAAAATCATCCTGTGATAACCATAGAGGAATTAAATTGACTAATATGGCATCTAAAACATTAGCCTCCATAATTATCGGACGTCTAACAAAGACTCGTGAGCTGCAAACATGAGAAAAATAAGGCTGGCTTCAGACCTGGTTGTAGCTGCATCGATCACACATTCACCATTCGCCAGATTTTAGAACACAGGCATGCTTATCGGCCTCCGACAATGATGGAAGAAAATTAGGGGCGACCAAACCAAAGCGTGACATCACTCCATAAGGTTACTAACTTCCAATCTAAGCCACGCTAGTAGATGCAGCCTACTTGGTTGGGGTCCGCGCGACTACCGTAACCGATTGTTGGAGATTCTGGATGACATGGTTCAGAATCGATCAGAATGGCATAAGTGTATGCATTCTTTGTCTTCCCTTAAACTGTGAGATTAAAATAATTTTCTACGAAACAATTTTTTCTCCCTGTATTATATCTTTATATGCGATCTTTATTTTTATATATTACTACCATTGATGTAACTGCTTCTATGGATTCGGTGTCCATCTTGTTGTGCTAATGAGGTATGGAAACTTGGACCGATGTATATATGTGCCTGACCTTACATCGTAGATGACTGACTGATATTCTAACTAAATTGGTCGATATTTTCTACAAAAAATCTCTATGTGTAAGACAAAAAACGTTTTTGGTCAATGTAAGATACTCTTAATCGATAGTATGGAGTAAAGACACTGGTACGCAGTGCATATTATTCAGACGTAATTTAAGTAACCCTTTTACTATACACATCTTAAATGAGTTAACTGACCGTTATTTTTATTAAGAACAAGCCGTTCAGCTTATGAGGAATCTCATATAAACAATCCATGTATACTACGAAGTCTACTTTAAACGTGAATATCAACATCGAAAGTTATTTATGCAATGATATGACGACAAATAATTTGATGTCTGACTTGAGAAAGGCCTCTTAGAAAATATACTTATCCTCAAGACTCACAAAGGAACTTTAAGAGAAACCAAACTATTACTCATTGTTCGACATGATATTTTATGTGTCTCTTCTTATGTACATTGTCTAAAATGTCTCAATATTTCACACAAATATCTCGAACAGTGGTACATATGATCGGTACTTTTTGATCTTTCAGTAACCTAATGTAAATAAAAATAACTTATGATATATTTAATGACATAATTAGGACTAATTAGAATGAGTCAAAGTTGTTCATTCTATTGCCTAAATAATGGAAAAGATCCTGGCAAGATAATCTGTGAGAGCGAAGGTCTTGGTAAAGCCTAAAATGCTTATGAAAGAATAAGTAAAAAAAATGAACACTTACATTTTGGAAATGTTGTTCCGCCAATTGAAGACTTTTTGGATGGTCATGACGTAACAGGCTGACGAATGTATTAAAATAACTTTCAAAGTTTTCTTTAACTTCTCGATATTTATTATGTATATCAGAGGGTGGCATTACGTGCCCTTAAAATTCTATCAAGTCAAGAAAAGATTCCAAAATTGACAACTTAGTCCATTTAAGAGCGAATTAACAACAAAATGTAACCGAACAAATGCCTAAGAATACACAATTTCAACATGAATTTGGGATTGTGTTACCCAAGTTCACTAGCTGCTTTGTTCTAAACGCTTACCAATAAAACTAAAGTGTAGTATGTTCTCGGTGTTTTATGGAACTGTCCCAAAATAGGCTGAAAAATACACAAATTGAATGAGATATTCCATGCGAACAGTGCTCTGTATGTCGCTTCTCAGCAGGTATTTTCAGTACTTAACCGAACTGATGTCTGAAAAGGGGCCCTGAGTGAAAAAAACCACTCGGTTTTGTTTACTAAATTTCAACCCACTTTAGAGAAGATACTCTGATTTGGGAACGGAATGTATTACTCGTAGACATCTAACACGTCCTTTACTGTACAAAATTAAGGTCTAGACTCTAGTGCAAACTATTGATGAACACAACTAAGGGGCATTTATAGATGGATCTACATTTGGTAATCATCTTTTAAAAAATAACTGAGAAGTATCTGTAAGTGTAAGCTCGTACATATATATTAGCTGAGGTGCAGCATAATCCAAAAAAACCAGAGCGATATATAACAAATCAGGTGATCCTGAGTCTCAGTAAAGTACCACTCTAGCTTGAAAAACATTTCAAGTGAACGTTTAGGATTATTCAGTGCTTGTAAAGCCCAGTATCCGTTTGCTATTGCTATTTCTGAGTTACTAACATTTGGTGACAAAAACACCCATTGAGTCTTGTGATCTAGAGACACATTTGTTTATTTATTTTAACACATAGATATTGGTACAAGAAGGCACCAAATACATATGCGCCACACAGATCTCATTTGATATGTGTGAGGGCTGTGATACTGCCCGGGTGCCCAAACCAAAGCAGGTGGTTTTCTTAGGGGGCCACACCCCGAGCCATTGACCTGAACGGCTGATCCACAAGGCAGTGAAGCATCGTAAGGAGATGCAGTCCCATGGTAGCCGGTGATCAACGATTAGTTCATACGCCATTTGTTCCCGCAGGATACTGGAGCCCATGTGCACCATTGGTTTGGGATCCGGTTATAGCGCCGGACATTCGCTTTTTATCCTCTCATTTTTGTAAACAACACCCCCGCCACGAGAAGGCAGTGAGTAGGACTTCCCTGGCAGGGGCTGTGTACGCGTAGCCATGTGAGAGCATTTCGAGAGGGAGAGCGGACTCTCCCCACTCTCGGCCGTACCAGGGCATTTGGGGGCTGTATATTTGTACATTTGTAGGCATACGAAAACCGACTAAATTTTTGTATAGTGTAAAATTGTTTGGATGGCTTGAGGACATATAACATTACCTGCCTAAACAGACTTGGGAGAAGTTACTTTTTAAACTCTAGGTCAGTCAGTAACAACGTGGAACTTCGTACGTACGTATGTACGTACATCAGTTCGAGTTGCCATACTACATTAGCACACAGATACAATTGTCAATTCAAATCCCGTAGTGGTAGAGGTAGTGATAAGGAACCTCAGGGTTTGATGATGTTATTTAAGGAGTATAGTCCAGAAGAATAATTTGGGAAAGAAAATAAAGGACATGAAGAATTCAGAAGATTAGAGTTTGAGAGAACACAGAGAGTGGATGCACCTGTCCCATTGCAAACGATTTTGAGCCATGTCATTCAAGGTCTGTAACCATCGGTTGCTATCATCTCGCGGTCCCCAACCAAGTAGTCTACACCTAACAACATGACTCCGTCCACTTGTCAGTGACTTCATGGATTTGTGCCATGTTTTGGTCTGGCCGCCCCTAGCTTTCTTCCAACCTACTCCTACACCATAAAACATCGCACGTCGAGACAGGCGGTGGTCGGGCATGCGCAACACATGTCCCAGCCATCTCAACTGATTAAGTTTCACTACTTCATCAATTGATTTGCCATCCTTACCTAGTACCCGTTTCCTAACAACTGCATTACTTACTCGGTGGTCCCAGGATATACGAGCGATGTTTCAAAGACACCTATGGTCAAATACTAGTAACCTACGAATATCCTCTACTCTTACCGGCCATGTTTCACTGCCATAAAGTAGGACGGAACGAACTGCTGCGCAGTAAACACGTCCTTTGGTTGATAGACAAATATCTCGCCTACGCCACAAATGACGCAAGTTGGCAAAAGCTAGTCGAGCCTTTTGTATCCGTGCTGAGATTTCCTCACACACCAGACCACAAGGGCTGATGAGACTTCCGAGATGAGTGAAGCGGTCGACACGCTCAACTACTTCACTCTCTATCACTAGTTCGGATTTTGATGCAACCCAATCCTGAATCAACATTTTGCATTTCGAGGGAGAAAATCGCATGCCGAACATGCCTCCATTGTTGCTCACGATGGTCAGAAGACTCTGCATTTTGTCAGCGTCTTCACCAAATAGAAATATGTCATCGGCATACTCTAAGTCAACAAGTGAGTCTTTCGGTAGAAGTTCAACCCCTGGAAAGTCAGATGTGGAAAGTGTTATTTCTAAAAGCATGTCAACGACAAAGTTAAACAAGAGTGGAGAGAGTGGACAGCCCTGACGAACACCACTTGAGGCAATCAGTTCTGATGACAGTTCGCCATAAGCTCTCACTCGACCAGTTGTGTTCGAGTAGAGAGCCTTTATAAGGTTGATGTTTATTATCTATTTTAACACATAGATATCGGTACAAGAAGGCACCAAATACATATGCGCCACACAGATCTCATTTGATATGTGTGAGAGCTGTGATACTGCCCGGGTGCCCAAACCAAAGCAGGTGGTTTTCTTAGGGGGCCACACCCCGAGCCTTTGACCTGAAAATCTGATCCACAAGGCAGTGGAGCATCGTGAGGAGATGCAGTCCCATGGTAGCCGGTGACCAACGACTGGTTTATACGCCATTTGTTCCTTCAGGATACTGGAGGTTGATGTACTTCTTTGGTACTCCTTTCAGTGACAAACACTGCCACAAAACCTCATGATCAACAGAGTCAAATGCCGCCTTAAGGTCGAGAAATACTACCATTGTGGGGTGTCTGAATGTGTGTCTATGTTCTAGGACCTGACGTAGTGTGAATATCTGGTTTATACAACCATGCCAGGTCGGAAACCAGCCTGGTTTTCTCTAGTCTGCTCTTCACGACCTTTGGTTAGATGTCGAAGTAATATTGAAGCTAATATTTTAGAAACTATATTAGTCAAACTAATTCCTCTGTGATTGTCACAAGAAGACTTTTGTCCTCTGTTATAGACTGGCACAATCAGTGATTGAGACCGTGGGTATTTCTTGAGGGACCTGAAAAGGAAATCGGATTAGTGTTGGTCTTAACGACCTGGGAGCGTGACCGCAGAGCCCAAGGGACAACTGCTTGAGGCCGGTCGCGCACGGCCTTTTTGTGGGAAGTTTTCAATGTGTTAGCTCCGTTCCTCAAAGGGCCTTACCGCCGGAGACGGAAATCCGAGGGGTAAGGTGAGGTGTGACATTTTTAAGGTCGACCTTTTCTAACCCCTTCCTTCCTTGTGAGAAGGCAGCATCGCTGCAGATGCTGGTTGTCCGAGGGGAACACCTTACTGCTGTCACACCTCTGTGCAGTCAGCAGTACGACTTCGCCCTCAGGCCTTGAGTTGCTACTTTTAGTCTTACCGTTCTCCAATCGACCTGCCTGGCATGGTAGAACCTGTAGGAACATGTGTTTCAGCCAATATAGCTCGGTTGGGTCATCACGGTATGCAAGCTCGACCACCACGTCAAGGTAGCAGCTACGATCGGGACTACAAGCAAGCGGCAGTGACGCTACGAGTTTAGGGTGGTTCTGTAGGATGGAGATATTTCTAACCGAATCCACACAAGACAGTTGTGTTGGATCACGAGATATAGTTTTTGACATCACCAGCAATTTTAAGCCCAATATTTTGAGGTTTTTCAACTGGTGGAAGCGTATTTGAGCATCTCTAGGTTTCTCCAAAACTTCGGGGATTTTCCCCAGACCTATGGAAACTTTTGGGGTTTTGTGTCACTTTCCCAATATTTTCTATTGCGGCTTCGAAAACGGGAAAATTTTCCCTCGAATAGGGAGATTGGGTATATAACAAACTAGCTAAGTTTATGGGAAATACTGCTCAGACCTTGCAGAATATTGTCAGTTGGCTGCACAAGAATGTTTACATATGGAATTTGTCTACAAAATATGCTATCCTCAAGTATAACACAGGTAGCGAAAATGTCATAATAAATAGATTAAACAGAACATTTGAAAACACATTGAAATTGTGAGTGTGAAAACGTCCACAGAATGCTAAATAGCTTAAAAATCTCCAAGTTTTGATTGGCCGTTTCTGTCATTTTAGAGTAAAGAAATCACTATCGACTTTGTAATACACAACTTCATCAGTTGGCTAGAATTGCCGCTGGAGTAAATACCCTGATAATATGTGATTATATCCTCGGCACAATTAGCCTTTAACCAACTGCATATGCATAATTAAAGGCATTGATCCAAGCAATCAATCAATAATTTCAAATCGAAGATCGTTCCTACCTTTAAGGTCTCACTGTGATAACACATTTGAATCCGTTGTTCAATTACTTGATGCTTCAAAGTGTTGTCTAGTGGAATGATTTATTGACATATAGCTGGGCCGAAAAAGCAAGAAAACCCTATCTACTTAGAAATTTGCTATAGCATCATTAGATATAAAGATGCCACAGATATTCGGGGTGGCCAACGAATTCGTCCGTGACAACTTTATAATCGAACGATTCCAAACCCAATCAGATCAGAAGTCAGCGATAGATGAGTTCAAAGACATATTTGTAAGGTATTCTATATGTAGGGAAGCGTTTGATCTAAACTGGGTAGTAGTTGTGAGTAGTGTGTAGTGCGGTGTACTCATTTATGATCTGGTATGGATGCGTGACCTAGTGCGTTCAGCCAGTTCGTGTCCAGTAGAACTAACGAGGTCAGCATAACTTCTGAAGACTTACAGAATGGCCTATCCTACGGATTTAATTGCTGCTACAAGTGCTTCAGGTCCATCAAAATCCGTTCGTTCGGCCATATACTCACAAATAGGTTATTTCAGCTTTCAGTTTAATCTTATAAATTTACAGGTAATCAAACAAACATACTTTAACCCAGGTCCTAGTTCATAGCTTGGTAGTCCAGTGAGAGATCTGATCATAGCCGTAAGTATCAGAATGAGTAATTACAACTACATAACAAGTATCACTTTCTCCGATTAAGAGGGCTAAACAAAAAAAGGGTCCACAATCGAATTCTCTGGTCATTGCCTCTGTATTTTTCACATTTTCCCGGATCTCATTTCTTTGAAATCTTGATGACGGGTCTTTATTTTCATTCCATTGGCACTTGTTCTTCCTTCCAAATCTTCCTGAATAAAACATTAAGTATGTTTGCAGTTACTTCTGTGCCTGACTAGTACTTCAGCCGGTACGTTGTCAGGTTCTGCTGCTTTCCCGCTCTTTATTCATATGGTGGTCATCCCGATTTCTTCCTTCAGTGATAGAGCGATGGCCATAGGAAGATCTGTAGGTGCTTCTTCAATGTCCATTGGGTATAGTGAGGCTAGCCTACTAAAAATTCATCAAAGTGCTCTACCCGTCTGCTCCTCTGTTATTAAGTCTCAGTAATAGTCTAGCCTTATTTGTCTTTGACTGATCTCTCTAGTTTACTATATTTCCCTGTCAATTTCTTCGTCGTGTCATATAGCTGTCTCATACTTCCTTCCGTTGCAGCTTTTTCCGCTGTCGTTGCTAGGACTTTCACATATTTCTGCTCGTCGGCTCTAATGTTCCTCTTGACTTGCCTGTTTACTTCTGTGTATAAGGTTTGTCCTTCAACTTTCTCTGTTCTTGTTCGGCTGTTGTTAATTGTCGTTTTTTCTTCCTTTCTTGAATCTTGTCTAAGGTTTTGATAGAGATCCATCCCTTATGGTGATGTCTGATGCGTCAAAGAACCTCCTGATACGTTGAAGTTAGTACTTCCACATTCATCTTTGCTATCATAATAATAGACCTAACCCTAGAATTGTAGATTCGCCATGATGTGACTACCTTATCTACAAGATCCTACGTGGAAGTCACGTCATGCTCTTTTCTAACACGTTTTGTCATGACAATCAACAATATGACATCTAGAACTAATGACGACACATTTGTGCCAGGTAGAAAGTAATACATTCAATGCAAAATGCATTAGGTTTTACGTAGTGACCACACTTGCAACGCCGAGTTATGTCATTTCAATTCACTGCTCCCGTGTTCGCCGTTACTGATTTGCTTATGTTCAGCCTCGAGTATTGTGTGGTTAGGACCAATGTCACTACACTACTCTCCCACTAGATTGTCGCACGCCGGAGATTACCAAGAATAATAAAAATCGTCAGGGTATTGATAAGCTGAAATATAAATCAAAAAGGTGGCAGCAAATAATCGGGAAACAGATGTAATAACAAAAATTATCTGCTTTAATGCTTAGCACGCTGAAAATGAAAGTCTATGTGAAGATTATACAGGAGTTGAACAAAGTGGGATTATTACAATTAAGAATGATTTCGTGTAGATATTTTTTAATAAGTCACCGTAAGACGTGTAGTAATAGTCGTTGGTTTGTTATGTTTGATACGGTTTATTTAGTTACGGGGAGATTTTCTCGACCTCAATATTACTTGACCGTGATAGAATTTAATAATACTATTAGTATATATGAATTATTATCAAAAATTCTTTCAACATATGAAAAGCAATGATTAGGTGAATTTTGGACATATAGCTAAGAGAAATTCGTTAGACATGAATGTATTCGTAATAGACATACCCTGGACTCGATGCTTAGATGTGCAATAAACCAATTATTTATATTCATACCTACTGTCTGATGGTGCACACAAACTAGTTGCAAGTATCGAGTTTCGCATAAGTTAGTTACAAATATAGTGATTAAGAATTGTTGAAACTGACTAATCTTATGTACCATAAATTTAGTTGGTGTAGTGTTGCACGACGCTTCCGGCTAAATAAATCCTTACAAGATGATCAACCATGAGTGATGCTCGTGTGATTATCAGGGAAAGCATAATTCGTAGCTAAGGAGAGTATCTCGTGCCTATTGGTAACCCTCGTGTTATTAATAGAAGAAACCAGACTAGTAAGGAATAGGTCTTTATTTTGGTCTTCGCTTAGTCACAGTGGAGCATGGGATCCTTGTTCAGACAAACAAAACCTCTCAACATTCAATGTGAGATAATTAGAAATATAGCGCTCAAAGAAAATAATGAAGTGAATGAATATTTGAACTATGCTGTTTTGACATATGCTTAGTTGCTTGAGGTCAACTCTTAACCAGTCGACCTAAGCTGTTACAAGTACAACTCCCAACTCATGTCTATGATAATGCCTTGAACCTCAGTCAGTGTTGGGGTAAATTCGACAGCGTTTTCAGTTTGTAGGATATTTGTTCGATTGCTCAAACTGATGATTTGCATGCATGATTGTGTCGCTAAACCTCAAATTAAACTGACAAAGTTTTGAGATATTTACTGAATGAGCAACCGATAGAGAAACATACTGTAATCACCTGCAATGGATGAAAACATCGAGAAAACACCACTATTTGACGATACTTACAAGTCAATTTGCTGACCAATTTTTTTTGATAATTTCATCAACTTTATCAATCATATTAAGTGATTGTCAAAATATGACAATTATTTATGACGTTATCCTGAAACTATTATGTTTAACTATTCATAGCGTTGATTGAGAATTAGCTAGCGGGAAATAGATATTGTTGTTTTGGGTGATTCCGAAATAGCAGTTCGTAGCGTTAACGAATCCGAGCTGCTTGATTATATTATAAATTGTAATTCAAAAATATTCGTCTACATAACGTTAATTTTAATGGTAGGCTCCGGAGTTTTGATTTTAAATGTTAGTTTGACCGACAATTACTTGATAGTTTAGTTATTATGCTAGTACAGTATGATAGTATCCAGATTTGGTAACTTTATTATCCCAACTCTGTTCGTCCTCTTAGGAAACTAATATGATATACCAAATCATAGACACAAATGAGTATAACGATAACGGCTATGATGGTTTAAGTGAAAAAGATAAGGGTAGTTCAAATGATTTTTAAATTTAAAAGGCGCGGAGACATAATGCAGCGCATGTACACGCCAGGTCAAAATGGATGTTTCTGGGGAATACGACAATTTGAAAATAACAAACTTGGCTAAAAACTTTGTAAGTTAGGACGAAGTGTGGAACTACAGTTAGGAATATGTCGAGTTATAATATAGACTTTTCATAAGAATTTACGCTAAATAGCTTTGTGAGATTTATGATTGTGGCAATAAATGTGGTAATTAGAACTAACTGTCAAGTAATTTTGAATCCAATGTGCTTGTTATAACGGCTGGGTTTCCACGTTTCCACGTATGGGACGTTAATTTACCTTAGACGAATATCTACACCAGATTCCCTTCTAGTGTCTATTCTAAAGGACTTCAACACAACTCAGATCAAGAACATGTGATTAGCCTAACTAGAACGTAATATATTTCCACACCAAAACCCGACACAATCCAGCAACAATGAACAATCAATAATAATAAGGATAGGGAAATATATAACTCATCTGACACCTGTCAGACTATCTAGATTTCTGACTAAGCAGACAACTAGTCATTAACATTTTCACTCACACATCACCGCCCTCTCGAAGTTTGATCGTGTGACTTCACTTTAGAGTTTAGTTGTAAAGATCTCCTTTGTTCCAGTTTCCTTGATGATTTCCGTCTAGCCTCCGATTCCAACTCATTTTTTTTCATGTCAACTTGTTGTTGTGGTGGAATATAAAGTGTATTACATAATACTTTCATTGGTAAAGGTTTGGGTTTATATGACTCATAAGCATTTTTTCTATCTTGCAGTCTGATAATTAGTGTATTTCTAAACATCACTTCATACAGTACCGTCCCACGTCTTTTTTATACACCCACATATTCACTTTGGCTTGTCAGGCCGGAAGTCACATGCATAGGCTAAGTCACTTGCTTTGGATTCTCGAATCTTCGGGCAATTCCCTTTCTTAAATTTTGCAGTTCACTCACTTTCTCTTTCGGATTCAAAACATCAAGAAATATTCCAACTGGCCGGTTAAATATTGTTTTGGCTGGAGATTACTCGTTTTAACGATTTGGACTAGGTGTAATTCTATAAGAAATCAAAAACTGTGGTAGAGCCCCTCCTACATTATGTTCTGCCGTCGTTAAGAGAGTTTGCCTAAGAATATTAACAAATTTTTCTGCTTGTCCATTCGACTGAGGGTGATACGGCGGAGTTCTAATGTGTTCCTTTCCATTTTGTTCACAGAATTCCGCAAACTCTGATGACGTGAACTGCGTTCTGTTAGCTGGAACCAAAACATTAGGTGTCCCAAACCTATCAAATAGTTGTCTTAGATGTAACAGTGTTTCAGACGTAGATGGTCTTCTCACAACATAAACTCCAGGCCATTTTGTGTAGGAATCTAC